TGTTGATTTTAAAATGCTTCCCCAGAAAACACAACAATCGCCTCTTAATTACGAAGTTGAAGCGGGTTAATGGAGTACCTTTGTCAACTTTTTAAAAGCCATTTCACTGCAGGTGCTTCCCTGGTGGCCCAATGCAGGGGACAGGGTTCAACCCCTGATCTGGGAAGATCCCACATGCCGCGAAGCAACTAAGCCGGTGGCGAGCCACAATTACTGAGCCTGCGCTCTAGAGCCCACGTGCCGCAACTACTGAAGCCCGCGCACCTAGAGGCCTTGCTCCACAAGAGAAGCCAATGCAAGGAGAAGCCCGCGCACAGCAACAAAGACCCAACACAGCCAAAAATAAAAATAGTTATAAAAAATAAAATAAAATAAAAACCATTTCACTGCAAATCAACCTTTTCACCAGATCTGACAGAGGAAATAAGCTTAAAACAGCTTTCTATTCATAGTTAAGAAAGCAAATGTTAATTTGTGAATTACTGGTTATAGATTTATTCTTTCTCCATCAGTGAAGGATTAAATACATATTTAAAACTGAAACTGTAAGCACAGGCAACAAAGGGAAAAACAGATATACTGGACTTTATTAAACTTTTGTGCATCAAAAGACACCATCAAGAGAGTGAAAAGACAACCTACAGAATGCGAGACAATATCTGCAAATCGTATATCTTGATAAGGGTTTAATATACAGAATAAATAAAGAACTCTTACAACTCAACAACGACAAAACCCCAAACAACCCAATTAAAAAATAGGCAAAGGACTTAAGTAGACATTTCTATCTATTAAAAGAAGATATTCAAATGCCAAATGAGCACATTAACATCACTAGCCATTACAAAATGCAAGCCAAAACTACAATGAGATACCACTCACTTCACACGCACTAGAAAGGCTATAATTTTTAAAACAGGAAATAACAAGTGCTGGTGAAAATGTGGAGAAACTGGAACCCTTGTATGCTGCTAGTAGGAATATAAAATGGTACAGCCACTGTAGGAAAGTCTGGCAGTTCCTCAAAAAGGTAAACACAGAATTACCACATGACCTATCAATTCCTAGGTTCTCCTAAGTATATATCAAAAAAGCACTGAAAATAGGGACTCAGTTATGTGTACACCAAAGTTCATAGCTGCATTATTCACAACAGCCAAAAAGTGGAGACAATACAAATGTCATTAATGGATGAAGAGATGATAATCAAAATGTGGTGTATATATATACAATGAAATATTATTCAGCTATAAAAAGGATTTAGTATTGATACTTGCTACAGCAGGATAAACCTAGAAGACATGTAAGTGAAATATACCACCAACAAAACAATAAACATTGTATGATTCTATTTATATGAAATATCTACAACAGGCAAATTCAGAGACAAAACATAGAACAGCAGTTACCACAGGTTGGGAGGGGAGGGGAGCAAAGATACTGCTTAATGGATCCAGAGTCTGGAGTGATAAAAAACTCTGGAAATACACAGTGATGATGGTTGCACGTTGTGAATACAATTAATGCCACTGAACTGTACACTTAAAAGTGGTTAAGGTGGCGAGTTTTATATGTATTTTACTAAAATTTTTAAAACATAAAACTAGAAAAAAAGAAAAAACTAGCATTCTTTATTGTAGCCCTGAGTTTAAGCTCTGACTCTGCCATTTGTAAGCTATGCCATGTTAAGCAAGTTATTTAATTTCTCCCAGCTTCAATCCATCTATAAAACAGAGATACTATCCACCTCCCAGAGTTGTTGAAGACTAAATGAGAACATAATCACAGAACCTGTTACATAATAAATACTGGATAAATGGTAGCTGTTGTTACTCAAAAACCATTGTTCTCATCAAGTAGGTGTTAAGGCTGCTATAAATGGATATCTGAAAGAATTCCATGATATTCTCAAGACACTCTGAAACAAAGCAGTCAATGTTCAGCATTCAGAGTTATCCTCCTGTAAACCTGGAAACTGGTGACCGCCTGGGTCAGTAATCTTGGGATATCACTGAATGTACAGAATACATGACACACCCAGAAAGTGAGAACCTACTTTGTACATCACTATTTTCATTAAAGAAATGATCAAAATATGAAAAGAAGGTAACTGGCTGTCTTCAATGAATTTCATTTTATTGTTTTTTCTTCACATATTTCTTATTTTTAAAAATCCTCAGAGATTTAATTACTTAGCAAATGCCTTGGGCTAGAGCCTTGTCTAGAGGACCTAAGTGCCAACCTCAGCATCACAATGTCATAATAAGGTGGAGAACCATACAAAATATGCTGTCTACAAATGTCAAAACAATTGGAAATTCTAGGAGTGTGAAAGCTTGGAGAGGCCTGTTAAATGATCTTGTATAACTCCTGTAATATACCTTTCTTGATTAAAATTAGGCATTTAAAAAATGGTCAAAGTAGCTGAAACTCAAAAACTGAATTCTAGGCAAGGTATGCCAGAAGATACAGCAATTGATTCCAAAACAATAGACAACACAAATCCTATAACATGAATTAAGCAATTTCCATATTCTATAACCTCTTACAAAAATTTCTCAAATTTCTTCAAAGAACTAATCCACCTAGAAAGGAAGTTTTTCTCAATATACACACAATTATTTGCATACTTAAGAGACTTAGATTCAGAGGGAAAGGGAAAGTACAGTATCTCAAATAGCAAAAAAAGTTGGTTTTTTTTAGTCATCTTACTAAGTCTGCTGATATTCAGAAAGTGAAGCCATACTAAAACGGTGATGTTTGCACTACACCGTGGATGTAATTAAATCTGTCATGAAAAGCATCGGAAACTGTACTTAACTCCATGCTGATAAAAAAATTTTCATATGCCAATATGTCCGGATTAAAACTACTAACGACTGTTGTACGTCTGAAAAGTGAAGGATCTGTGCCAACACCCTTAGGAAAAAGTCTTTCCCTTCCCAACAAAAATCTATCATGATAAGCAAGAAACTACTTAACATGTTAACCTGAAACCCTCACCTGAGCTAATTCCTTTAAACCACAATTAACTCTTTAACTATCATGACAATAATGAATAAAGGCCTCCCTAATTAAATTCCAGAAGTGATCCTTTTATGCCACACAGCTCATTCCGTTACATCAGGGTCATGCCTTCTCTCCAGAAAAAAAATAGAGAGGTTTGGTGATTGAGGTTCCTTTTGTCTAAACTTTATTTCAAAAAGGTAAAGCACACCTTAAGATCCAGAGAACTCAGTTCTCAAAGAAACTGATACTATAGTTATCTAACTAGATACCATTGGTAATAAATTACCAAAAGCTAATACTTCTTGCTTTAAAAAGCCCATGCTAATAATGACTGGCTGGTCATAAGTCACACTATCAAAAGGCCATAAAACCATAAATTGGTTCAAGTGCATTACCAACAATAGAAAAATGCTGAATTAGAATATTAAATAAGTGTGAAAATTTTTAATTAAAATTAAACACTACCTATAACAAGCACACTACCTATACTTACTAAAAAGTAACACCACCTACAGTTCAGTACCATTAATTATCACCTCACCCGCAGGGAGAATCATCTGACCCCCAAGTTGATCTTAACCTAAGGGTGTTTTCAATCATGCCCTTTTTATCTTCCTGCCCTGTTTTCAGGGCAAATCTCATTGTTAATGTGCCACTGAGTAATTATGCTCTGACTTGAAATGCACTATAAAGTACCGTTTTCATGGACGATTTTTTTAAGACACGCTTCGCTGGGCTCTCAAACCATTTACCCAGGACTTAGACATACAGGATGCCCATATATTTTAAATGAAGTGGCATGGCTAAACATCAGGCAATTCAGGACATTCATCAGCCAAACCATTCATGTACATGGTTTACAGATGGAGCTTAGTGACAGGCAAGCAGCTGGTCTAAATGCTAGCTAGCATGTTAAGAAAAAGTTGTAAACCCACCCATCCCCAAACGACTTAGTCTAGGAACTTATGCCCCACATTTTGAGACGTCTAACACAAGGTTGGAACAAAACCAACACTGTCATCTCTGCTGTTCCTAAAAGCGATTTCTTATTTAAAACATTCTGTCCTCTACACAAGCTATAGAATGGACTCAGCAAGAGATCATTTAACTAAAAGTAGAATTAACTGTATTATTCTTCTGCTATACTACAACACCGATTGTATTAAAATACTCTCCTCAGCAAACTGCTTTTTACAATAAATACGAAGTGCGTTTCGTGTTACAAAAACTTTTACAGTACCGATCCTGCTAGGGTAAACGGACTCTCAGGCATTTGTACTTTTATCCTACATATTTTCCTTTACGTAAGACGGACAGGAATTTGACTAGCCCACCCCGACACTGGTCCAACACCCCCGGGCTGTAGCAAGAAGCCACGTTTTACTTGAGAAGACCGTTTCCCCACCCCTCGTTAAAGTAATGCCTGTGGCCGCTAGAGACTTCCCCGGCCGACCTCCAGAAACTTGCAGGTTTAAATGGCCAAATTGGAACCAACCAGGGCAGCTGTCATCTGAAACTCAGGAAAGCTGAGACCAGCCAACTCTGCTGAACAAGGACGGGTGCGGAGAGATGTGACCGGGCGCGTCGGAGGGAAGGCATCAGGCTCCCCCCCACCCCCCATCAATTGGCTTTTCTGCAACCCCAGCGCCGCCATCCTGTTCCTGAATAATTAAACCAACTGGAGAGGGAGTGAGGTGGCCAGAGGCGGTTTCTGGTCCGAGTTTCCCGAGCCGAGGCGGTGGGATCGAGAGGCCGAGGGCTACATCCCCGGAGCGCTGAGGGCTTTATCGAGGGCCAGGGAGAAAAGGGGGCGACCCCGCGGCCAGCGGGGCGGCCGGAAGCGGAGCGCAGGGAGTGACGTGGAGGCGGGAATGACAAAGGGGCACTGGGACCCCGGCCGCGCGGCCCGCGGGCCCGCAGGGGCCGGGACAGGTGGCCGGGCCTGGCCGGGAACAATGGGGGGCCGAGGCTGCCCCCTGGCGCTCACCTACCTCCGGTGCCCTCCGAGTTCTCGTTGAGGCTGCCCGAGGAGTCGTGCTGGGCGCCCACACACCCGCCCATGGGGGCCCCCGGCGCCTCGTCCGCCACCTCCGGGCGCTCGTCCGGGCCCGCCGCCGCCTCTACCGCCTCCGCCGCCGCCGAGCTCCGGACAGGCGCGCCGCTCCTCTCGCCCGCCGCGGCCCAGCCTCCGCCCCCCTCGCCGCTCCACCCACCGCCTTGGCTCGGCCCCTTCCTCCGCGCCCACTTCTACCTCAGTCCCCGGGCCGCTCGCCCGGCAGGCCTGTCCCGCGCGCCGCCCTCGCCTCCGGCTCGGCCCCGGCAGGCCGGGGCTGGCCCATCCCGGGCGAGCCGCAGCGCTCGCCTCACCCCTTCACAGACCCGCACACCCGCGTCCAGGCGAACCCAGCGCCGGCGCCGCCCGACCGCCAGGCCCCATCGGCCCCCACGCCGCGGCGCCGCCCTCCGCTCCCGAGGCCTGGGCTCAGCCGGGCCACCCCGGAACAGCCGGGGAGGGCGGGGCCGCGGGAGGCCGCGCACTGATTGGCTGCGGGCGAGGCCGCGGGCGGAGGGGTAGCCAGGAGGCGACGAGGCAAGAGGAGGGGGCCTCCGAGCTGGAGGAAAGGAGGGGACCGGGCGATTGCTCCCAGGGACTAGGCGTGGAAAGCAGGCGTGGAGGAGGGAGAGGCGAAGACGGGAAGAAGAAAGGAAGTCGATGAAGGGAGAGAGAGCAGGAAAGGAGGAGCAAAAGTGAGAAAGGAAAAGTGGAAAGGGGCGAAATCGAGTTTCTGACTCCTCGGGCGGCGTCAGCTCTTTCTTGTAGAAGCGGGTCGGGAGCGGAAGGTGGTGGTGCACAGAGCAGTAGTGATGGGAGACTCGCAGGCGGGGTCCCAAATAACTGGCAGAGGGAATGCATTAGGCTGGCCGAAGGATGAAGTCCCAGCACCTTTTGTATTTGTGTAGAGTTCAGTGGGTTGGTATCCCGAGTCTGGGCTTACCCTTGCCTGCCCCACCCCCTTGCCCCCTAAAATCTCTGTGCCCCATTATTAGACGTAGAGGCGGTCATTGTGGTTGCAAACTGAACTCAGATTACAGAGGCAAGCCATCCGGTGCAGGGAGAGAGAAGCGTGGACCTTAGTTCAGGGGACGTGAGCTAGTTTCATTCTCACAGGACTGATTATTCAGACACAGTGCTACTTCTCAAGATCCTCCCTTTAAGTATCCTAAGTCGTCTTTAGAACAAAGTGAAATATAAATAAATGAAATACCCTGCTTTTTCTAAATTAGAATTTGGTACACTGACCACGCCCGACGTTCTTGGCGGTTGCTATCCCAGTCTAAGCCAAATTGTTAATGGTCCCTTCAGAATCGTGCTTCTTGCCATGATGCCTTAAAATTTTTATCACCTCGCTTGGGTCTTTCTAAAGCTTATTTCTGCCTAAGAGCTGTTTTAACTATCTGCTCCATTTTTATAATCAGATTTCTTTTTTTAACATCCTGGGTCAGCTTTTGCTTAGCATTAAAGAAACAGATTTAAGTAAAATACCTAGGAAAGAGACTCTATGCAGCTTGGAATTTGCATTTAAATATATTTTCATACACTGCTGGTGGAAGTGTAAATTGGTTCAATCTTTTTGCAAAGCAATTTGGAAACACAGATCAAGAGCCTTAGAAATGTTCATACCCTTTGACTCAGGATTATCCCACATGTGGGAATCTAGCTCACAGAAATAGTCCAAAAGAGAGACAAAGATTCATTTGATAATCAGATTAAAATGAATGTCCAACGAACAAACAAAACCCTATACTTATATGAAAACACAGAAATGCCTTGTGAGAAATAGAAGTCTGCTATATTAAATTTATACTGACAAATTAGCGTTGTCCTGGGTACTCATGAACATTCAAAGAGCTTATATACAAGTGACATCTTTATGAGTTTTCAGAGGGTGCTCTGATATTCAGTTACTGTGTTATAAAGCCTTCTATCTGATCATTCTCTGCTAAGTATTCACATTGGCAGATGGACACATCACTTCGTCACTTCCCCAAAGGAGAGAAGCTGCATACTGATATCTTCAAAGGGATTGCTTTGTTCTAAATTTTGCTCTAGAAACTGTAGAAACCAAGACTTCCACAATGTCTATTAAACAGATGGTAGGCACCCAAGCGATGAGTGCTTTCTGAGGAGCATTGAGGAGTTGGCACTAGGAAAGAGAGAACAATGTCATTGAGAAATTCTTAGCCATGGATGTTCTCCATCTTGCCTTTATCTTAGACCAGAGACAGAAATTCCCAGGAGAGAGTAATGTGGTAGTTAAGGGCCCCACAGAATCTGGCTTTATCCTGTACTAGCTGTATGACCTTAAATTTCTGTACAGCTCAGTTTCCTCACCTGTAGAATTGGGCCAATAATAATGCTGCAAACCCTGTGGGAACTCCTTATTAACTCTCCTCCTTACTTCACCTCTAGCATCACCTGTCTAACCATACTGCATGACCCAATCCACTTAAGATGTTTTATATAAACATGCCTTTGTGTGTGTGCTTTTCTACTTTTTTATAACATCTTTATTGAGGTATAATTCATATATCATAATTTCAGCAGTTTAAAGGGTAGGATTCAAATAAATTGGTGCAGCCACCATGGAAAACAGCATGGAGATTCCTCAAAAAATTAAGAATAAAACTACCATGTGATCCAGCAATTCCACTTCTGGGTGTTTATCCAAAGAAAATTAAAAACACTAACTTGGGACTTCCCTGGTGGCGCAGTGGTTAAGAATCTGCCTGCCAATGCAGAGAACATGGGTTCGAGCCCGGGTCCAGGAATATCCCACAGGCCGTGGAGCAACTGAGCCTGCATGCCACAACTACTGAAGCCCACGCACCTACAGCCTGTGCCCCGCAACAAGAGAAGCCACCGCAGTGAGAAGCCCACGCACCGCAACAAAGAGTAGCCCCTGCTCACCACAACTAGAAAAGGCCGCGCAGCAACAAAGACCCAACGCAGCCAAAAATAAATAAATTTATATAAAAAAAAACACTAACTTGAAGAGATGTGTGTACCGCCATGTTCATTGTGGCACTATTTACAATAGCCAAGATATGGAAACAACCTAAGTGTGATCAGTGGATGAATAGATAGAGAAAATGTGGTGTATATATACAATGGAATATTATTGAGCCATGAAAAGGAGACCTTGTCATCTGTGACAACATAGATGGACCCTGAGGGCATTATGCTATGTGAAATAAGTCAGACAGAGAGAGATAAATACTGTATGATCTTACTTACATGTGGAATCTAAAAAAAAACAATGTAACTCAGGTACAGAAAACAGGTGGTTGCCAGAGGCAGCAGGTGGTGTGTTAGCAAAATGGGTGAAGGAATCAAAAGGTACAAACTTCCAGTTATAAAAGAAATAAGTCACGGTGATTTAAGGTACAGCATGGTGGCTATAGTTAATAACACTGTATTGCATATTTGAAAGTTGCTAATGGACCCTTCATACAAATGGGGATCATATGAGGTCTTTTGTGACTGGTTTCTCTCATGTAGCATAATGTTTTCAAAGTTCATCCATGTTGTAGCATGTATCAGTACTTCATTCCTTTTTATGACTGAATAATATTCCATTGTGTGGATATACTACATTTTGTTTGTCTATACGTCAGTTGATGAGCATTTAGGTTGTTTCTGCTTTTTGGCTATTATGAATAAAGCTGTTGTGAACATTCATGTACAAGTTTTTGTGTGAATGTAGGTTTTCAATTGTTCTGGGTAGATACTTAGTGGTGAAATTGCTTGGTCATATGGTAACTCTATGTTTAAGTTTTTGAGGAATTGGCAAACTGAATTTTCCAAAACAGCTGTACCATTTTCTATTCCCACTAGCAGTTTATAAGGGGATATAAAATGGTGCAGCCATTTTGGGTATGTAGGGTATCTCATTGGGATTTTGACTTGCATTTCCCCAATGACTAATAATGTTGAGTGTCTTTTCATGTGCTTATTGACCATTTGTATCTGTTTTTGGAAAAATGTCTACTCAGATCCTTGGCCCATTTAAAAATAGGATTATTTGTCTTTTTATATTGAGTAGTAAGGGTTCATCATATATTCTGATGAATATCCCTTAGCAGATATATGATTTGCAAATATTGTCTCCCATTGTGGATTGTCTTCTAATTTTGCTGATATTGCACCTTTGAAGCATGAAAGTTTTTAATTTTGATAAAAAGTCTACTTTACCTATTTTTTCTTTGGTTTCTTGTGCTTTGGACCTCATACCTAAGAAACCATTATCTAATCCAAAGTCATGAAGATTTATACTTGTTTTCCTCTAAGAGTTTTACAGTTTCAGCTCTGACTTTTAGGTCTTTAAGCCACTTTGAGTTAATTTTTGTATATGGTATGAAGTAGGGGTCCAACTTCATTCTCTTGCATGTGGATTTCCAGTGTCCCAGCATTTGTTGGAGAGACTGTTCTTTATCCCATTGAATTGTCTTGGCACCCTTTTTGAAAATCAGTTGACCAGAAATGTTTGAGTTTATTTCTGGACTCAATTCTATTTCTTCTTTATGTCTACATTAGTCTTTATGTCTGTTTTTATGCCAGTACCACACTATCTTGATTACTGTAGTTTTATAGTAAGTTTTGAAGTTGGGAAGTATGAACCTCCAACTTTATTCTCCTTTTCAAGATTATTTTGGCTTTCTGGATTTCTTACATTTCCATATATATTTTATCAGCTTTTTCATTTCTGAAAAAAAAAAAGACAGCTGGAATTTTGATGGGAAATGTGTTGAAACTGTAGATCAGTTTAGTGAGTATTGCCATCTTAACAATATTAACCTTCCAATTGAGGAACATGGATGTCTTTCCACTTATTTATGTCTTAAATTCCTCTCAATGACATTTTATCGTTTTCAGTGTACAAGATTTGCACTTCTTTTGTTAAATTTACTCCTAAGTATTGTATTCTTTTTCATGCTATTGTAAATAGCATGATTTTCTATTTACAAATAGATTTATTGTCTTTATTTCCTTTTCAGATGGTTTGTTACGAGCATATGGAAATACAATTGAGCTTTGTATATTGATCAAGTATCCTACAACCTTGCTGAACTTGTTTATTAGCTCCAGTATTTTTATTTATTTATTTATTTATTTTTTGTGGTACGCGGGCCTCTCACTGCCGTGGCCTCTCCCGCTGCGGAGCACAGGCTCCGGACGCGCAGGCTCAGTGGCCATGGCTTACGGGCCCAGCCGCTCCGCGGCATGTGGGATCTTCCCGGACCGGGGCACGAACCCACGTCCCCTGCATCGGCAGGTGGACTCTCGACCACTGCGCCACCAGGGAAGCCC